ATACGCCATAAATTAACAAGAACAATGTATTGTTGGTATACATTTATTTCCATAAAAAGAAACTAGTTTACTTATATAACAAAAATAACTATCAGTCAAATGACGTAAAATGAAAGTCTCATAAGTATAATTAATGTAATTACACATTATGGCAGATATTTGACTGAGTGAGATAACGAGAGAATGAGAGTGAAAGAGATAGAGAGAGAAATATATCTATGAATCTACGTTGAACGCGATACCTTGACAACAGAGGAGAAAATAGATGACACACATACACACAATGTATGCATCAAGTTGATCAATTTAGTAAATCACACGCAATGTTCTCTAACAGTCAAACTAAATATACATCAAAAAACTCGATTATGACATTTCCTTTTATTGATAGACAAGTTTATTTATCACTAGGTAAGCTAGTACAAAAATATAATTATTCTGGTGAAAGTTGGTTTATTAGGGATGAAAGCTGAAGTTATGTAACACATTTGCAGTGTGCGGTGTCGAACGCTTCCCGGTACTTTTACCTGAATTAAGTGAGTATGTACTGCATGATTGGCGATATTAATTTTCCTCAAATATTTTATTACAAACCCTGACTTACAATAAACTTGAGTTTCTTGATGCAATGGGCCACTCGGAAGTCGCCAAATGAGGTCACGAAGTGGTGCCAATCGAAAATCTCCTGATGATGAGTTCATGTGATTGGTCAAGAAATGGTTTCATTTTCTAACGTTTATATATATATATATATATATATATATATATATATAAGTACTTATGGATGCTAATCATCTTTGTCCAGTAAACTTCATTCTTCACTCCTAGTCTTCTTACTCAGTAGTCGGCTGGGAGCTCGATTATAAGAAGTTTGTGCATCAGTATCCGTTTCTGGAATCACGGTTTATGACGTTTCTCATCCGACATGGAAGACGATTGTGGGTAATTCCAAATGTTTGAGATGAAATCTATAATGAAGCCCAAACTATTACACACAGCACTCACTGTCATGACGAGGGGTGTCCGAAATCTGATACAGGACGTGCTACACACTAACTCTTCAACTGACTACTTGAGCGAGAACACAGGAGTGAACGAGAAAGCATATTGAACTGCGGAATAAAATGGACAAATACTCATATATATACAACACTCTACCCCTTAAAAAATAACTCCATTTTATAGCCAATGAGATGCACTTGTTCTTCAGGTCATCGATCAACCTTCTCATTTGGCTGCTTCTGGCTGGTTTACCGTATCATTCACTGATTCCTAGGTGCCGTATGCCTATTAAACACTAAAAATCTAATAAATAACTTCCGCCGACATGAGATGAGTTTGAATAATTCTCTTAAAATGACAGCTTGATTGGTTATGAAACAACTTCACAGCTAATAAGAAGAGATGTACGATAAATAGAAATATTTCTCAACAGAAGTAACAGAAACTATTAAGATTTAGTAGTCTTAAGAAGTTGATTAGCTTTTTAAAGATTATTACCAATTTCCCGATTTTAGTATTGTAGAAGTATCATTGCATAATCTCAATAATGTAAAGGTTAACATATTCACGCTAAAGACTTCTTGCACAATCTTTCTTGTAGACATAAATAGCTTCATAAAAATTAATCATCACCTAAAAAATCTTTGATAATAAATTTACTGAAAACTTATACAGATGAAATCATAGAGGTATCATCGTTATCGACATATCATTTATGATAATAAAGTCAGGGATGAAGATCGTTATCTATTTTAATATCTTTACTTCACTAGCTTAATTATTATTCAATAAACCTTTAATAAGATATCTTTTTAGCGCATTTATTAGAATTAAAGTAAACTAGCAAAAATTGATTGATTCACGTGTTACGTAATGTACATATATATGTACTCAAAAGTGAGCACTTGATGCTTTTAACATTATCGTTTCTACTCTGAGATAACAAAAAGAATTATGTTCTAACAATTAAAAAAAAATTACAAATACTACACAAAGATATTTCTATTGTAAATTATTTTATATGATCAAAGATAGAACTGGTAAAACAGATAAAAAAAAAACCCTGGTGAACTCAATCAATTAGAAAGCAACTTTTGTAAATGAACTGTTTATGGAGAGAAAACAAATGATATTACAAAACGTAAGCAGTATTTACATAGTTAATACATCTGTCAAAATTCTCTCTTACAACTTATTCTGTTAGTAAATAAACAAAAACTGCATATATATTGATCTTTATGGATATAGATTATCTGTCATACTGAACGTTTATGACAATCTAAACTGTTTTCGAAGAATCCACAGAGAATTTTTTAGTTAGGACTGAGGATCAAAGGGTTAAGGTTTTCATCAAGAAATGGGATCAGTTATAATTTAAAAATGTTCTGTACTTATATCGATAAATGAATTTCGTGAAAACCTACAAGGTACAATATTTGATTAGCTCCTCCATAAAACAAGCCTTTAACAGGTTTAGGTTTGCTTCAGAACGAAGGGTTTGGTGGATTTCTCTGTCATATACAATTTGAAAAAGTGAGTTGAGGCAATATAGATGAGTCGACTTCATGTAAAAATGCAGGATGATCTATTTGATTGGTTTGTTCATAAGATATAGTACTACTAAGTTACGGTTTGCTTCAGGGAATATAGAGGTATACACATCCTTATATTTTCAATTGGGTGTTTACATTCAACTAACAGAGATATAATTGAACATTTGTTACGTTTAGCACCATCATTTCTACAGTATCTTAATGGAAAGTGATTCTACGCAATCATTTTAAACTTTTCGAGCACCATACAAAGGTATTTCTACTGCTTGTAGTAAGTGATAAATGAGTTTCGTGCAGAAGCCAGATTCTGATTGACTTATCCTTATCATATACTTTTATTGATGAAAGTCATCAATTTTTTAATTTCGCGCAACAACTCGAAAGTAGTTTTGTTGATTCGGACTGATCTATCCATATGACACTTTTAAATCATACCATATATATAGGAGGTTAATCAGTTTTATTGAATTCCAACAAGAAGTCATAATCTATGGACATACATATTAGGAATGAGGCTTTGGTTCATCAATCACATTGGATGAAGATCATGCAATACCTTACGCTCAAATAAGTTGAATGAGTGAACTATCAAGTTCAAATTTAGTTTATGAAAAAATTGGAAATCGGTTGATAGAGTACTAAATCTTCACCGAGTGAGATGGTCAGGATATATGCTACGTATGTCAAACCACAACATAACTTGATGTGTTGTTCTAGTTGGTGTAGTGGTGAGTTGAGAGAAGGCTAGAAGTAACCAAACGAAAGAGTGGTTTCATTTCACGAAGTCAGCGATTGACTTGAGTCAGTTGAGCAGATGCAAACTACCTACCTGGTTGAGGTCCGCGCAATAAACTTTTTCAGTAGTTATGGTTAGCAAGGTTGGTTGACATTAATCAAAATCTGTTAAAAAGGCACAGATTATTTCATTCTTTACTTTCATCTTCCTCTACATCTTCACTTCCAGTATTCCTTTATATACGCCATTCGCTATGTCTTCTCCAACCGTATTCTTAATGTTTAATCTTTCTCACCGTCGTCACGACTAAATTATTTATACTTTTTTTGTTATTCACCTTGCGAACTTCATGTCATTAAGTTGATGTCGTCTGAAAACCTGAGCTAATGAGCATTACTGATAGACTTTATATTGACTATACATTCGCACTTTCACGAAGTTAATATCATGTTCGATCTAATGTTGCGTCGTGGGTGTGCATCTCTGAGGAGCACCGAAATACGACCAAACATTTTCAGTGCTTATCAACTTACAATTATGGTTATGCGATATCAGTTACTGATGAAAACTGACTATATATACATAAGCAGTGTCAGTGTTAATCTGTAAATCGAAGAAAGTTCTAGTGAGAAGTCATGACCAGTGGAGATAATTCGTGTCGGATGTGAAACAGAAACCTACGAAAGACAGTTGAAGGTGGTAGCGCAACGTCTTGGATTGATTAAAGTTAGACATCAACATCACTGGATGCCATCTCAGTGGTCTAGAAGTTAAGCGTTCGCGCGCGAGACCAAAAGCCCTCAGTTCGATTCCCGTAGGTGGGATCGTGAATGCGCACTGCTGAAGAGTTCCATTCTAGGACGAAACGGCCATCCAGAGCTTCCAGGTTCTCAATGGCGGTCCAAATGTGATCGGTTCATTAGTCCAGTGAAATTCAACAGTCTCCACAATCTCATACTGAAAACCGGAGAGAGACAGATAAATTCATGAAGTGTAATGACCTCTACCTAAGAGATGATGCTACTATGATTAATATTATGAATAATATTTTGTAGTCTGGCACAAACAGAAATAATGATCGATTAGCAGCTAAGTCAATTGATATTTAACTGTACTGCTACTAGTTCGAACTCCACATCTAGTTATTGTCACAATGAGCAAGCTGGTAGTATGACTAGTTTTCCACGCGTAAAAATATGCTTCAAAGCCGAGTAAATAAGAGCCTGTACTCGGTGTTAGACAGGAGTAATAAATAGAAAAAGTATTTGATTTACAGTATTTTTGTATTATCTTTATTGTAAGCTTCTAATTGAATCATTGATTGATGATACGTCTCTTAACGTTCATAATTATATGCTTGGTATTCAGTTTTATAACATAGATCACATAACAATGTACATATTGTGATAACTTATTTACAGTGAGTTATGAAATCGTGAAGTTGATATTTATGGCCGTGTGCAATTCGAGTAATAAAATAAACAGAATAAATCCAATGACTTTTTTCATGCTCTGACTGAGCAAACTAGAAACAGGAATAAGTTGATCATTTATATAATTAACCCAAACAGACTCATCACTAGTGAAGTTAATAAAATAATGAACCTATTAAATAAGTATACACAAATGAGATCAATATCACTTGATAAATAAGTTACATTTAATTTATATCAATTGGATAATAATAATAATAATAATAATAAACTGACCCGTACATTAGACTTCATGACATGACATAAAGAAGTACTAGTAATTGTTGTTATTGGTACTGTTGACGATGATGTTGTGGTTACTGATGTTGAACAACAGTTACTATCCATCTCTTGTTGAGCTAATTCATATTGTCTAATCTTAGAGAAATGCTCTGATCGTCTATGCGCAGATTCCAAAAGTACCTGAAAAGAGAAATGAAAAAAGGGATTGAGTTAAAACAGAACTATTAAATTTATACGGATAAAACAAACTAATTATACTATAATTCACTAGACAAACATTTCTGTAGTTTGATAATTAGTACTAAGAATTAACGATGTATATATATATACTACTTAAAACAATAAGTTTTCTAGGGTTAAGACCTAGACCTATACTTCTAATCAGTGGTTGAAAACATTTAAATCTTGTAGTTGCATTTCAGTCGAAAACTGTGATTAAATTATAGCGAGTACATAGATTATCATGTAAAATCAAACTCAACAATTCTGTCGTTAATTTCAAGCTTATTTTATTTGTTATAATCAAACCAGATAGGTAGGTTAATAAACATCTGGACTTTTCGATCACTGAGTGGCATAATTAATGTTATATTGACTAGTATTTAATGCTGATCAAAAGTTATTCAAGTTGGAATATAACACACAGAATATCAGTTTCATCGAGATTACAGATACGCCTTGTTTACAAGCACTGACTAATCAACCAGTTAGTAATAAGCAGCGTAGAGCCTGCCACCACACATGTGTATCGGTTCAAATTGCCATGCCATACCAAAACAGCAAGATGAATACCAAAAAGCTGAACTTAGTTGTAAAAAAGCAAAGATTAAGGTTAAAGATTCAAAAAGTAAGAATCAATTCAAGAAATAACTTCATAACTCAGGATCCGGGAGTAAACAAACAACGAATGGATCAGGTCACAGAGACTGATTCTGGGTTATGTCACTCAACGTCCCAAACCACTGGTTATGGTAAGCATGCTAGCCCCAACCAGAAGATAATCTACACGTGTACTAACATAACTCAGATGAAGAGTCAACAAGTTGATGGGCTGATATCACATTTCGGTTTATCTACCTAGTTATGACACACGGTGTCCAAAATCGATACTGATGCAAAAGGTTCCTACATGCAAGCTCCCAATCGGCTAATGAGTGAGAAAACTACGAGTAAAGAAGAAAGCTTATTGGAATAAACCAATTCACATGCATAAGTTCTCATTTACCATACATTTATGTCCACTCCTTAAAATATGAAATCGTTTCTTCACCAATCAGGTAGATCGACCATTAGATTTTCGGCTGGTACAACTTCGTGGCATTTTTATTTGGGGATTTCTGATTGGCTCATTTTAGTACACCACTAGTTTTCCTCTAGGCTGATTCGACTCCAAAAATTCTATTTTGTGGTAGGTAGCAGTTGAGAAACTTGGATGCACACAGTCTCACATCCGACTGCCACTTCCAACCGCCTGATATCTTAGTGACAATGGATTGGTTGTGACTAAATAGCCTTGAAAATAATAACTAAGATCATTCATAAAAAAATTAGAATAGTAAAATATCAAGCAAGCATCTCAATATGGGCACACACATATACAGAAAAATGTGGAGTAGAAACATGTTGTTAAATGAAAACAGTAAAATGAAAAGGAACTACGCATTACTTACGTGTAATTCGCGAAAGATATAGGTCAGTTCCTTTACTAATGGTATTAGAATACTATGTAAAAAGTTCAACTGACTACTGGATTTCACTACAAGATCTGGATCCATATAAGGGGCAACAGGAAGACCAGCTTGTTTTTCTGCTGCAGCCTAAAGAAAAAAGGATCAAACAGAAAAACAGGTTGAAAGAACAGAAGGTTAGAAAACAACAACTTTGAGACATATCGGTGCAGTTCCAACATACAAACACACATGTTATGTGTGATAATAACGTTTCATAATCCAATCGCAAAACAAATTTACAATTAAACTGAAATAAGTCGTTAAACAATGAGGCGTAGGGTTTTTAATGATTTTAGGCATTTAACTTTAAACAGCTAAGTCGCAGGTTCGAGTCTTATTCTATCTACTTCAGTTTGGGCAATCAAATGGTAGTGTTACTAGCCTTCTTATTACGTATAAATCATGGCTCAAAGCCAAGTACATAAACTTGGACTTGATAATTGAGTTACATCAGCTTTAGTTTAACAAACTTCATTATCGTAATTTCTGCTTTCGCACTCATCTTTTCCTGACAGCACTTGGGATACGTAGAGTATAATTATTCAGTTACGACTAACTTCATTTCAATTATCTTTCTATGTTGGGTAGAGTTTTTAAAAACTAAATAGATGAAGCATTGTTTGTTTTATGAACAACAAATATCAGCGATTACATCACTGCATCAACCATTCTATAATGCAAAAACGATTAGATGGACATCCCGAAACAATTTAAGTTAGACGATTGTTGAAAAACTGGAAGCATCGTTAGATGCTAGCTCAGTGGAATATAGTTTAAGCGTTCGTGTTTGAGACCAGAGGTTCTTAGTTCAATGACCAGTGGGAGTTGTGGATGCCCACTATTAAAAAATCCCATACTAGTGCAGTGAACGAGAACACAGGTGTGGACAGTTGAATGTATTTGAGCACAAAATTACAGAACATCTTACTAAAATCTGAGAACCATACAATGAATAGTTGAAACCATGAGTTAATTGAAGCTAGACCACCATGGAAAACCTGGAAGAACTGAACGGCCGTTTCGTCCTAGTATGGGACGCCTCAGCAGTGCGCATCTATGATCATGCCCTCATGAGACTCAAACCAAGGACCTATCAGTCTCGCGAGCAAGCGCTTAACCATTAGACCACTGGGCCGGCATCCAACGGTGTTAATGTTTAACTTCAACCGATCCACGAAATTGCGCCACCTTACACCATTGTCTTCAGTGAGGTGATAACTCACAGCAGACCTGATTGAACACTATTGGTCACGACTTCTCACCAGAACTCCAGGAAATGCCTCTTGAAGTCAGTCACTAGTAAACAGATGATTATTTTAGTGATTTCAATAGTTGAAATCATTAGTCAATTGAAGCTAGACCACCATTGAAAACCTGAAAGCACTGAACGGCCATTTCGTTCTAATATGGGACTCCTCAGCTTCAATTGACTCATGATTTCAACTATTGAAATTACTAAAATCTCCACAAAAACCCTTCTGATACAGTGAATACTTAATTTGCAAAATGTCAATCAATTGTCTCAAACTTCGCTGCTCCTTTTGCATATATCAGTCAATCGTCTCAGACTTCAATGTTCCTGCATTCTCATACCAATTGCTTTCTGTTCCCGTTCTTTCCCCCTCGATCTTCTTGAGCTTCTGCCGTCAGACATTTCATTCCTGACTAGCGTTATATACTACTTATGTCGATATAAGTAGCACACACCATACTAGGACGAAACAGTCATCTAAGGTTTCCAAGGAGGAAGGTGAAAGTAAGGAATGAATTGATCTGTGCCTTTGTAATAGATTTTGATTAACGTCAACCAACCTCGCTAACTACAACTACTGAAAGAGGTTATTGCGTGGACCTCAACCAGGTAGATAGTCTCCACCTGTCTAAATGACTAATACCAATCGGTCATGGATTAAAGCTACGATTAAGCAATAAATTCTTTCATAGCTATCTCAAAGATTAGTTCCTATTTTTGCCATTAGTTAAAATGAAGGAATTTTAAGCTACAGAATAAACTAATAAATGGTGAATTTGATGATATACTATGTTATGCTGTAATGATCAATTAACAAGTTATCAATGAACTGATTGATATGGTGTGATGTATTTCATGAGATCATATGTTTTTAGCCGATTCGGGGTTTACAAAATGGTAGTTAGAATTTCGATTAGATAAAACCTTTATTGAAACTCAATAATTTAGCGATAAGTTGGATGTACACGAAGCCTAATCATCTCAATAATAACTAAACATAATGAAAGACAGTAAATTGGTTGATAAGATTGTGAATGTTCATCGACTTAGATGGTTAAGAAGTGTATTACATATACTAAAACACCACCCACCTTGATGTGGAACGTTCGCTGGTGAAGGGTTAAGTTGGTAGAAAGCTAGAGGTGCCCAAACCAAAACGTAACATCAATTTGTGAAGTGAAATGCCAGCTATTAGACCCCCACTACCTGGTTTGGATCCACGTGTTTATCGTAACTGTTGTAACGTGATGTGTGACTGCAGGGTTAGATACGCAGCGTTATTATCGATCGCTTCTGTGACAGTGGACACGCAAACACGTAAACATGTAAGGACGACCTAGAGCCCTGATTGGTCCCGCTTCGCAGTCTGTCCCAGCCAGTTGAGCGAAGAACGCAAGTCACAGCCTCTGAGTTATGAATCATTATATTTCAAACATACACTATTTATATACCAAGCAAACAAACCACATCGTACCACAAAGTAGAAAATAACATTGTACAATATTGGCCAACAGGAAAATAACACGTTAAATAAATATCGACCAATGGGAAATGTACATTTAAGGTCCAAGGACACCATTGGACTAAACATGATAATTATTGGTCTATTTTTCCCGACTATCCTAACAGTAACCAATGTTTAGAGATGGTGGGTGATACGGTTACGAATGAGTAGCAGTGAAGCAGATACATTCACAATTTATCTAGTCCTATATCTTGAGTTCTAAACGTATTTTATACTTTTTATTCCATGAACGAATTCTTTCCTCTTGACTTATGTAATCTATGTTTAAGCTTTTTTTACTATTGCTACTCCCACTACTTTGGTAATCATCTTAATAATTTCATCTTGCAGTACTGATATAGTGTGGCGACATGAAGTGATACATGTATTTGTCAGGTTCTACAATGTTTATGGCTGAATAACTGACTAGTATCACCAATAAATCACATTTCAGTCAGTCAGGAACAACGTAGAACTTCGTACATACGTGCATCAGTCCAAGTTGACATACAACATTAACACAGAGATACAATTGTCGACTCAAATACCATAATGGTAGACGTAGTAAAAGTGTAAGCAGTAATCGGAAACATTAGGCTTTGAACATGTTATTCAAGGAGTATAATCCAGTAAAATAAATTTGGAAAGAGAAAAAGAGAAAGGGACATGAAGAATTCAGAAGATTAGAATTTGGCAGAACACAAACATTGGATGCACCTGCGCCATTGCAAACCATTTTCAGCCATGATATTCAAGGTCTCTAATCATCAGTTGCTATCGTCTCGCGGTCTCCAACCAGGTAGTCTACATCTACCAACATGGCTCAATTTACTTGTCAGTGACTTCATGGACTTGTGCCATGTTTTGATCTGGCCGCCCCTAGCTTTCTTCCAACCTACTCCTACACCATAAAACGTCGCACGTCGGGACAGTCGGTGGTTGGGCATACGTAACACATGTCCCAGCCATCTCAACTGATGAAGTTTCACTACTTCATCAATTGGTTTGCCACCCTTACCTGGTGCCCGTTTTCTAACAACTACATTACTTACTCAGTGGTTCCAGGATGTACGAGCAATGCTTCGAAGATACCTATGATCGAATACTAGTAACCTACGAATAACCTCTACTCTTACCGGCCATGTTTCACTGCCATAAATTAGGACGGAACGAACTGATGCACAGTAAACATGTCTTTTGGTTGATAGACGAATATCTCGCCTGCACCATAAATGACGCAAGTTGGCAAAAGCTAGGCGAGCCTTCTGTATCCATGCTGAGATTTTGTCAGACACCAGTCCACGAGGGCCAATGAGACTCCCAAGATAAGTGAAGCGGTTGACACACTCAACTACTTCACTCCCTATCACTAGTTCGGGTGTCGATGCAACCCAATCCTAAAGCAACGTTTTGCATTTCAAAGGGGAGAATCACATGCCGAACATGTTTGCATTGTTGCTTAAAGTGGTCAGAAGACTGCATTTTGTCAGCGTCTTCACCAAATAAAACTATGTCATCGGCATATTCCAAGTCAACAAGTGAATCTCCTGGTAGAAGTTCAACCCCTGGAAATTTAGATGAGGAAAGTGTTATCTCTAAAAGTACGTCAATGACAAAGTTAAACAAGAATGGGAAGAGTGGGCAGTCCTGATGAACACCACTTTAGGTAATCAATTCCGATGACAGTTCGCCATAAGCTCTCACTCGACCAGTTGTGTTCGAGTAGAGAGCCTTTATAAGGTTAATGTACTTCTTTGGTACTCCTTTCAGTGACAAACACTGCCATAGAACCTCACGATCAACAGAGTCAAATGCCGCCTTAAATCGAGAAATACTACGATTGTGAGGCGTTTGAATGTGTGTCTATGTTCTAAGACTTGACGTAGTGTGAATATCTGGTTTATACAGCAACTTTAAGTCATACTCATATCGTATGAAAGCTTAGTGATATATCATCAAACGATTTAAACTATAGGATTCAAATCCAAAATCTGAATAGTTGAAAACTAAGTGAGTAAATTATTAATCTATCATTCTTATTCATAATTCACCATTGAATAACTATCATTATTCAATTATGTAAATAAGAAGAAATGAAGTTTTTCAAATAACCTATAATCAGAACAGTTTTATATTAATATTATGGATTAGTATTGATTTTACAGTTTTCCTTCCTTTCATAAAAGAAAACAATAGTTAATAGGAAACGAAATCATTTTAGAGGGGAAAAAAATGGTAAAAATAAACAATTTCAGGTCAAATAAAGATAGATAGACATAATTGGCAAGAAAAATAAATTATAACTTGGCATACAAATTATAACCCTAATAAAGATAAACCTATGAGTTAAAGTTGATAATGAAACAATTTAAATTTCAACTTTATAATAAATGTAATCAACTAATTCTATTGTTCATTTTTAGTTGAATGAGAAAATTACAAATCTAAGAAGAAGAAAAATGTTACTCTTTGTCTTTGACCCCTCCCCCCCTCAATATGATGGGTCAATCAAATATTGAGGTGGTACAGTATTTCATAAGTTATGAGTGACTTGTTGATTTTAACAAGAAAATAGTGTTTTAATTATCTGTATGAAGTAGTGTAAACCGTTAACGGGTTCGAGGAATTTATTAAAAAGACTTGAGTTTAAGCTGTATGCTAGCTGGTACTGGTTAGTAAGACATAGCTGGGATTTTTCTCAGCAACTAATACTATCTATAGAGTTTAAACTCACTCAATAAACTAAGCTATTCAAGTGATGACTGATTTGCTGTAAGACTGAAATATTTACATTAGGCAACTGCTAAGTAACATCAGAACATAGTGCACACGATGTTGAATCATTCAGAATAATGACTACATTGTAACTTGATCGGTAGAATTCGATCAATACAAGGCAAAAATGATACTGGCCGAACACTAGTCAATCCTAGTGGTGTAGATTTTTTAGGTTCACTAATCAAAGTGGTAATGATAAGGTATTATATAGAAAAATATAGTTTGTGTAAAATCACTAATCATGAATTACAATGATTGTATGAAAAACACCTAATACACGAATATGACCGTGATAATTGAAGTGTTTTTTTTCTACATATTCCCAAAAGAAAACTGTAGGTCATCCACCGGTCGGATATAATCCAGGAGCTATTTGGTCATCGCTGAACTGATGACCGTGACAGAGATATGTGATGTCATGTATGAATTTCTTATTATGGTGACCTAGTCAAGTTATTACTCACCAGAGCAGTCGTTTCTTGACAGGTCCTAACATTTCAGAGGTATCAGTTGGAAAGTCGTAAGATTAAAGGAGAAAGTCTCTGATTGCAAAGGTCAGACATTACTTCCAATCATGCAAACGTGTGGCAGAACGGAAATGTTGATCGTGAATAGCTAACATCTTAAAGGATGCTACCTCCTGGCAAATAGTAAAAGAGATTGGAGAAAATTCGGTCCTAGAAAAAACACACAAACACACCTTTAGCGTCTTAGGAGTTTCCAGTGATAACATTTTTAAAAACATACAAAGTTTATACACTGGAAAATGTTTACACATGATCGGTATCATTTAGCCATTGATGATTACACTTTCATTTCGATAAGATCATATCAATAACAATTCAAATTCAATTAACATTCTTTAAGAAGAAATATCTTTTCAAGGTATGAACCGTCGAAGAGTTCAAGTCGTTTCGTACTTCATCATAAGTAAAGCTGAGAAGTTACAAGATTGAAAAAATTACTCAACAGATTTTTAATATTTCTAGTAGTGAGTAGTAACATGAAATAAACACCTATAAATATCATTATTATTTATCTATGGAAAAATTAAACAAAAAAATTATTACACAAACCTGTAGAAAAAACTCTTTGAATAAACAATCCACCCAGACATCAGCAACTAATGGTGAACGAATCTCATTTGATATATCGCATACTTTCAACAGTATCATTAAAAGTCTTAATAAATATTCAGGTTGTTGATTAATTAATGAAATTAATGAAGACTGGATTAGTGATGCATTAATATGACCATAATCATTATTATTAATATAATCGCCATTATTGTGATCACTGTCATTATCACCACCAAAATTAACAACGTTATTATTATTATTATTATTATCAACATGCTGATTGATACATGAATTATATTGGTCATATTCTTCTGTTCGATTTTGTCTGTCCACCCCTGTCTCATCATTGTCATTATGGTTAGGTTGATGACGATGATGCTGATGATAATGATCATGGGAAGTTGTTAGTGTAGGCTGTTGTTGTGTAGGCGACGGTGATGAAGGATCAATATATGATGATAATAATTGAAGAGAAGGAAATATTGAATCAGGATTTTTCAACTCCCCTTGTTGACTATTATCACAACAAGAATGATCAATATTTTGGTGATTATGTTTTATACTACTAATACTACTACTACTCATATCCATAGATAATGACTGGCAATTCAAATAGACCTGTTTTCGTAAAACTTGAAATTGTGACAGACATTCTGAATGGATGGCCATATCTGTGCTTAAAATACATCTATGTGAATATATTTATATATATATATATGTATATAAAATTTGAGAAAAAGGTAATTGCGTCACCATTAACCCCCCGGAACCCAATCCAAAAAAGAAATAGATTTCCAATGTTTTGATTGTTTCATTTTAAGAGGTATGAAATATGTAAAAGAAAAAGAAAAGAATTGAGAGAGAGAAAAAAAACGACCAAACATTAGAACGAATTGTTTTGTCTTTTGTCAATTATATGAAAAGAAACCAAAAACATAAATTTCAACTCAATTTTTTCGCTCTCTCTCTCTCTCTCTCTCTATGTGAAACACCTTTTTTGGCTAAGAGAAGAGAATATATCATGATAAATACGTCACATTATTCATTATTTGGTGAGATAGAAAATAAATTAAAATCAATAGACACTTGAATAAAAACACACACTCTACTCTTTAGAATAGATATTTCAAGAATACTGTGAACATATGACGAGGATAATAATAAGTAAATAATGTTGAAGTGAAAACCTTACTCTTTTACTAAGATGATAAATCCATTAAAGTTAAACAACTGTTGAAAATCCGAAAAAAAAAATATTGGAAAGTTGTTCGATGCTATTGTCAGCAGATTTTTTGTTTTGTTTTAAGTATAGCTATTTAGTCACAAGCTTATATTAAAATTGGATAGTAACTAGTAATGGAATATAGGATATGTGTTACATCGTATTTGAAACTAGTCAGTTAAGTGAATTTGAATCTGGCTACCGTGTACAATCAGTCAGCTTAGTAGATAATGCGTTGAATGTTAAAAGTGAAACGTATTGCGTCTCAGTGTTAATGTGGTGAACATACAACACGAGGATGAAGATATACCCTGTAAACAAGTTTCAAATAGCATTAAAAGGATGTACTGTATTCCACTACTAGTCGCCCTACATCCACCACTATCCAACTTCAATATCTCCAAATTACAATGAGAACAAATAAATGGGATATATATATATATATTTCATAACTAATAAGTATATACGAGTCACATTCTGATTAGTTTAGTAACAACAAACAAAAATCAATAGAGTATATACATTTCTAAATTGCTTGTCCATTTTACCTGACCTTAAAAAATTTAATATCTTTTATTCATTTTTGCATTGGTTGCTTGAATCTTCCTATTGATGTTTAGGACTGCAATTGATCAGTCTCTTATTAGCATATGTGCATCCTGTACGGATTGCCTCGATACTGCCGTAAGTCACAAGTATTATAAGCAGAGATAGATGGTGGTTAGCAATGAAATCCAGGATGCGTGTTTCGTCGTATTTGGGTACTCACCAGCTGGATTTACCTTCAATATCTTTTATGTTAAAATATTGATGAGAAAGAAATGTTTCACTAAATAAAAGCCTTACAGATATGCATAAAGACGTTAAAGAAAATAGATACAGACAAAGTTGACCTTAAATGTAAAATGGAATAATGAGAGTAAAAAAAAACAAATTATCGTTACAATAAAATACAAATGGCTCCATTATCTCTCACGCATAAACAAAGTTCTAAGATATGGATGTTATGTTTAAGATAGAAAAAATGTACTTAACAAAAAGATAATAGTTGCATATATGTATATACAAATCGACAAACCTTATCACAGATTTACGAAAATGACGTGATTCATTTGGTGTTAATCCACTGATAATATTTGCCGTTGGGTTGCTGTTGATAAGATCGAATGCTGTCATACAATGATGATTCTCCAATGGTGATATATCATTGTAACGTAGAGCAAGCCAAGTGCCAGCATTAATCTATTTAGATAATAATAATAATAATAATCTTTGTTACTTCATCAAATTCTTTCACTTAATTATAAATGTGATGAGAACATAAACGCTGGTATGTGTTGCGTAAAAAGTTAATTAAATATGTTTAATTGAGTGATTTGTAGTGAGTTATTGTGGAAAGATAATTCAATGAAGAAGAAATCAAACAAACAGATATTCCTCCATAGTATTACAAATTATATCATACAAAGATATTCAATGGAATTACCAAGCCTTTCGTTTCATTATCATATACTACTCAATTGTAATAATAATAGTAGCAATAATGGAAAACAGTATAATTATTAATTGATTTGATTTACATGTTTAACATTCAGGTACTTAGAAAATAAAGCAAAATGAATGAAGAAACATTTGTTTGCAATTAACTTCACATTATCATTATCACTATACATCCACACCACTATCATGTATGTATCTAGTTCAGATTTATAATTTCTAGCTGTTAATATTTCAGTACTATAATTGATTAATCTCTGTTGATAAATGTACATCCTAAACCGAATTTCCTCAATTTAATCATTCTAAATATTATAAAACTTACAATTAGAAGGCTATTACTAGGTAATTCACTTAGGATACACATATATCAACAGAGACTGGTCAACTATAGTCCTGAATATCACCAACAAGAAATTATAAAACTTTATTAATCATGGGTTATTTGACATGATGGTTGGGCTTATATAACATGACGACCTAATCAATCTACATTGGCTTGAATATTCATCCTTTAGGTCTGACACCATACAACCTGGGTCGGTTGGACAGAAGATTAAAAGAAGCAAAGTATGTGGTCAGAAAGTGAAATTGTGTTGTCGAATGTACATGTGTTTAACGTTATTAATGTATTTCCTTCAGATAACCAGAACATACAACAATCCTCCTATCACCACAACAAGAATGGGTTAAAAATAATTGACCATAAAAATATTACACCTCATATTATTTCATTAATTTTTGTAACCAGCATAAGGTCTGTAAAGTTTAATCTTTCCAAATATTAAAAAAAATATTCTATACTTAATTTAAAAATAAACAAATGCATAATCTTGAACAATCTAATCATTCAAACTATACGAATTAGTGTCGATAAAAAACAAAACAGTAAGGTTGTTAATTTTATATGTTTCATCGTCATTGTCTCACAGATCAGTAGTAGATACATTCAAGAAACAGTTATTCATTCATTTATTCACTCTCCAAAACTAAATTATAGTACATAAGAATTATGATATAATATGAATTATAGATTCTCAATCAACTAGGCTACTATTTAAAAAGATAAAAACAAATTATTGATTAATAGTTAGCCGCTCAAGGTTATTTGTTTGTTCAAATTTTGGGACAAATGGTTGATTTTACCGGAAATTTTTCATTTCATCACCGTTAATGGATCATAATTATTTGTTTACATGAATTTATTTCGTTTTATTTATTTGTTATTTACCACTTGGTTACGATTTCAATATTTTCATCAACTTAATTACCATTGAATATTATTATCATTATTATTATTATTATTATTATTATTAGTAGTAGTAGTAGTAGTAGTAATAGTAGTATTGTTACTGTTGATTTAAACAAGAAAGATTTAGTCACCTACATCAAGAAGCAAGAAAATCACATACATTCAAACATGTAATGCTAATGATTATCGACTACTTGAAAAAAAGTAAATAATAATTGATAACCTATTTGCAATTTTCATCTACCTACAAGAGTAAATAAATCATTCCTTATTATATTACTAGTAGTGGGGTAATATTAATATTAGTATTACGGTGATTATTAATGTAAATGTGTAAAATCAAATGTTATGACGTCAAAGTGAGAAAAAAAAGAGAAGGCTGAATGAGAGAGAAACACATAGCCAATCAAAATTCGACCTTGAATTTAAACTGACAGGCCTGAAGGGCATGTCTATCATTATAATTGCTAATATTAATACAACCAATATCATCATCATCATCATCATCATCGCTACGATCACCACCACTATCAAAATCTATCTTGATTTGCTTACGTCAATACAAATATTGTTGAATGAACTAAAGACTAAATGGTGACGCGTGTAAAATTTAACTGAGACACGATCAAATTGAATGTATCAACTAACTAACTAACTAACTAGTTTACCTAGAAGAATATTTATCAGCTCAAAAATCAATAATTATTTTAGGCTACCTAAACTAATGTTTATCTCTCTCTCTCTCATTGTAGAATAAAAAGAAAGAAAAAAAAAAGTGAATGACTGATAGAATGATCCAGATCAGAGATTTTAACAAAATAAAAAAAAACAATTTGCCTGATATCATAATATAAATTAAAAAAGTTCAGACATATCATTTTGGGTTGGTAAGATAGAAAAGCTATTACGATATATGTGAGAGAGAGAGAGAGAGAAGAAAGAGAGTGGAAAGTATATATATATATATATGCATATTAATTACGCTGAAATGATGCAATAAGTCCCTAAATGAGGACAAAAAAAAACACAATCAACTGTAGTTTTTATTATGCTCTGCTTCTTGATTATTTTTTTCTAAAAAAGAACCATGTTCAAATGTTAAAATTAAAAAAAAAGGGTGGAGGTTGTAGCAATTAGTACGAGAAAACACATACGTAGAGAGTATGGGAAATAAATGTTGACTAAAAGCAAAATACAAACAAGTTTATATAACCACGTTTTAATCCTTAAAATTAATTGAACTCTTAAGTAAACAGATTAAATAAGATTTGACGTCATTACACTGGTGTTTTACAGTTGATTAATACAAATCAGACTGTTACTTAATAATTATTTTATTCTCAGAATTATAAAAAAGATAAGAACTGCCAAAAAACAGGCCTACCAATACAAATCAGTCTTAAAAGTAGGTTTCAAACGCAATTTGTAAAGTACATACATGAGTCGAAAATTCATCAGAATTAATGTTATACGTATATAATCTGAAACGATTATGCATTAATTGAAGGCTCAAAATGTTCAGAAGTTGTGATACAGCATCAACAGTCTACACCTACAAACATAATCACCTTGATAACATTTTAGTCAATTGACAGAATGTTCCTTCGAAAATTAATCAGTTTCGAAAACAACAATATACATTAGTGAAGTTTCACAAATCTTAGTTTTATGCTGGTGTTAACAATTCAACGGTCTTTTTTTAAAGTTATTCACGTCCGTAAGTTATATTTAACGACGGAATATAATAAACTACACATTGTATAAATGATTCAAAATAGAATAAAAAAGGTTATTTGATTTGATTCCACAAGTTAAAGGAGTTGATAAGGACAAAGTGAATATGTTAGGTGGTTAGAAGTAGCCATGGATCTAAGTTTTTGTACTATTTGGTACTCGTTATAAAGAGATATCCATAATTTTGACAGAACCGATGCTGCATGTGAGATTAAAATCCGCGTCATTAGGTTTCACAGTTTTAGACGTTACTACAGATCTATTCAAGTCACAATTGACCTCATACAGCACTGAGATATATTTACAATTGATCGATCACTAAGTAGTGAGCAATTTCATGCTTATCTAGTCCTTTATCTGTGCTGTGATCGAGTTCTATCGATCAATTTTATATTTTAGAGTATCTGATAATACACTTTTGGAAATAAAAACTAAATCATATATGATAAATATTTATTGCGATGAATGAATATTGATCTATGGAATAACATACAATTGAATTAACTATTATGAAGTATTATACTGATAGAAAAAACATGAGAACATTAGATAGATGATGGGCACAGATATCATTCAATGTAGGACACGATATATACATATACTAAATGAAATTGGATACGCTTCACATCATAGTAACAAGAAAATAATACAAGGGAAGATAAGGAACAAATGTATGCACACCATATTTTTGAACTATGTTGCCTAGAGTTTGCAAATACTGATCAAAGTTATCTCGCCAAAGTCAATAATTATAAGGTTTGCACAGATCAATAGGAGAAGACTTCACAGACTGATGCTATATGTATGTCTTGAGTTAATCACATACATCCTTTTTGTCCAAACTAATCGCCTAAAACTAGCAATGTATGCAGACTATAAGTGTGTAACAGTTACCGCACGCGAGATAGTGGACGAGCACTGATGAGGAATCCTATACTAGGACGAAACGGTCGTCCAGTGCTTCCAAGTTTTCAACGGTGGTCTAACATTGATTGATTCATGATCTCAATCAAAAAATTATTCAATGGTAGTTTATAATTTCATCCCCAACAGTTTATCATTCTCACCTAATATTCTACGCCTAACGTAAGCAGTGATAAAACAATTTGATTACTTCTTCAACCAATTCTCTAATAAAAACTAACTAAAGTAAATTACAGGTTTAAGGGAAGTGGAAAAAGAAACAGTTCACTAACCAACTGACTCCCATAAAAACTATTATTATTAACAATAACATTATTCGTTTGATGAGCTAATAATCAGTTTTGGGTTAATGAAGAAGCATATCGACTTTACGAAAAAAAGATGAAACTTATAACAGTGTATGTAGACACACACACATATGCAAACATACAAAAATATACGTGCATCATTCTATAGGATAGTTTATCATCAGATCGATTTTTGATAATATCAGTTATAGAAGATTCGTTTTCTTTAAAGAGAAAAAAACAGTTAAATAAATCTGAAACTATCATCAAAAGAAGTTTATAAATAGGATACTCACTTATCTATATTATTATTATTATAAATTCATATGATACTATACAATTAGCCACTGCTGATACACTATACTTGTTTCATACTGATTATTAGATTAATTGGCATAGTTTTTAGTTAGTACAATAAAAAAAACCCAGTGATTTCGTATAGAGAGGTTTAGATGAACAGAATGATCGGGGAAAAAAAAGAAAGAATCGAAACAGAAAAGAGAAGAGACAAGGGATAAGAGTAATAACAACAACACTTGGACTCCATATGCCACTATTGGTTATCAGTTGTTAAACTGATTGAATTCAAATAAAAGATTTTTCTTTCATTGTTTGTCTTTAGCTTACATTCCATAATTATAGATTTGATAAAATTTATTTGCCACAAGGCAATGATAATCTTTACGATTATTATCAATATCGCTAATATTATTACTAGTATTACTGTTATGAATCGATATTAATTGGAGGAAACCAATCGTGTCATTGTGCTACAACGGGATAAATGAGGAAAAAAATTGAACTTCCGGAATCTTCCCATGAACGAATGATTTATAAATTCAAACTGTATGATCAGAAGTTTTCTACCCGATGTATTTTGTGTTTTGTTATGGCTATCTGGAGAGTAAGTGAGTGTGAGAAAACCACATAATCGTTTAGTATTAATATAGGCTGTTTTCCCACTATTATTACGTTATTGGTTAGCAGAAGGAAGTTGATACTAGATCCACAATCTAAACGAATCAATCTGTACTCGGAAAAAACCAACATATCTGCTCTCTTGTATCAAAATTCGACTACACAGGCACCAAATAACTCAAGGAGTTGGTTTTTTGTCATATCACGTTTTGTTGAAGGCTCCTCAAATGTGAAAACTGGTGATTACATACAAGACATAGGAGCCTAGAACCTTTAAATTTTATAAAGATAATGACAATTTAACACCAGTGAAATGAAAACTACAGTGGTATGTTTTTCCAGCTTCATTTCGTTTACGGTACTATAGAGCAACCGACATTCAAAGTCATCAGTAAGATTTGTCTTGCTGCTTATTCGGCTAGACTCCACCATTGATCACAACTTATCCCTTCTCTTTTCAAAATCAGTTAGTTTTTTGGAATAGGAGTACATTGTCAGAAAGTTAGGGGCAGACAAATCATGGACTATGAAGTCATTAACTGTTGGATTGGGCTATATTGGTAGATGGAGACCATCTCGGTTAGGGTCCAGTCAATTATTATGAACAATAGTTGGCGATATCAAGCGCCCAGGTTGGAGCAGGTGGTTAACTTAAGAGGGTACTATCTTCACTTTTAGCTTAACGGTTTAGTTTATAAGCCAGTGAGTAATTGAGGAAATAAAATCTCACGATAGGTCTATAAGCTTTTTGCTCCCACAGTAACTAGAAGCTCATGCTAACCATTAGTTTGGAATTAGGGCTTTCTAACTCCTCTCACGGGTTCTTCTGTAGTCATTAATCCGGCTCAAACCCCGGAGATTCGCTAGGTAAACAACACCATCAGCATAAAACAGTGAGTAGGATCTGAATGGCAGTGAGTATAAATGAGTGGCCAAATGAGAGCATTTCTAGAGTACAATGAGTATTTCCCCACTCTCGGCCATATCAAGAAATACCTTCAAAGAAGATACATATTCACCATTGTTTACTTCTTTAAATGAAACCAATGAAAATAAATGTCTTTAAGTACATCAGTCGTTTTAATAGTTTGCTAGGTAATAGTGTAAGTAAATTATAAAGCTTAATGCTTGCTTTTTAAACTATTACCTATCCACTAAATTGTTAATAAAAATAAGACTAATTCACATTCAAATTATGTTTGGTACTCTACAGAACACTTACAACTACTCCCTAGAAATTTTAAAATCGAGAAAAATTGTACAGCATAAAAATAGAATTGATGATTCACTTCTATGGTCAGTTAAATTACAGAAGTCAAGGGTTTTATTTTGAAATGGTTATTAACAGTTTAAAAGTTTTGAGAACTTCTGCAAAACATATTCAAATTAATGATAATTTTATTATGTACTACACCTCATTATAGTTGTAAATGTTCCTTGAGAAGCATAGGAAAAAGGTCATATATAATGGGTATTTAAAAATAACAAGACATACAATAGGTTTATTACATAAATTTTATTAAAATCGTGTATGTTTAGTATATTTGATGTGAGGTTAGCAGTAGAATCCAGGGCAAGTGTATCATCCAATTTGGAACTCATCAGCAAGATGCATCTGCATCTTAGTGTTGGGGTCCATATCGGGACTTGAACGTGGTACTTTTCGCTCTATACGTCCGACGCATTATCCACTAAGCTACTGAATTTTCAATGTGTATGGAAGTATTAGTGGTGACTTGTAAATTCTTATTGTTGGTATTTGGGACTGTAATCGATTAATCTTTGTTGATAAATATACATCCTGAGCGTATTGGTTCCATATAGCGTTATGTAACGAGTTTAGTAATGTTGGGTTATATGTTATTGTGCTATATTTCGTTATATCCTTACCAGTTGCAATCAGACTCATACAGATACTAGAGTAACAATGCTCATTAACTTGTTCATTTAGTGGGGAATTCAATACGTTGTACAAACTAACCAAACAAAGGAAGGTAATAAATAGATCTTCAATGTTTAAACAATATATAAGATACTGTTCTCTGACATTTTATACGACATGGATGATAGTAAATGATTATGCAATGTTCACTCGTTGCATACATTTTCACCAAGTTAATTGAAATTTTAAACACTGAATTATAGATCAGATGAGGATTTGTAGAAAGTTTGACTTCCATTTTTAAAAAAATATTTTAATGAAACATTTATACATATAACTTAATCGTTCAACTACTAATAATAGTAGTAAAACCACTACTGCAAATACTTGTATTTTACATGATTTTCGTTATGAGTAAATATTTTATCCTAGTATGGGACTATTCTACAGCAATGTCCATGCGCGACTCCATTGGGAATCGAACCCAAGACCTTCAGGCCTCATGCTTAGTGTTTGATCTTTAGATCACTGATCTGGCATCTAATGGTTAACAAGTTTAAATTCAATCAAGTCGTGAAATTTTTAAATCATCCTATATTATTGACAAGTAACTGCCTTACATTCCATATCGTTGAACTCCACTCATTACGATTTCTTACTGAAACCCTATCTGAAAAAGGGAGGTGTCTGTAGAAATAACTTGATTTCATGGTTTACATTTACGAACTGATCTTGATTAGACAAATATACTATATCAAATAGGTTTATTTGAATCAAAATTTTAGAAAAAAAGTTAATCAAATGATAATAATTTATTTACCTGGTAAGAGTTTGTAAAACCCGGATGATCAAGATCATGTGACAAAGCGGAGAACAATAGAATCAGTAAATCCACTGAGGATAAATACAATGGTAAATTTACCATTTTAATGATACAGTACATCTGACAGAAAAGAGAAAAAAACAGGAAGTAAAAAGAGAACAGATAAAATACAATGGTTATAATGTTGTTTTTTTCATAGTCGCTGTTTATAATATTCACTTATTTGTGCATCTCTCGTTTTATCATTTCGATCTCAATCAATAATATTTGTATAGGTAGACAGACGAAAAAAATATGAAAAAAAAATCGTGGTGAATAGTTATTTCAATTTATTATATAATCACTTCATATATATTCCATAACTATTTTCTTTAGGGTATTACCTTGAAGAAGTCCAGACAATTTAGCTGGACGAAACGTTGAAATGATTTAACTTTCAATTGCTGATATTATTTCAAATATAATTCATACATATAATGACTTTTCTGTACTCGGCGCCCAATTTCTGTCAAACTATCTAATGGTTGTGACTTGGAATTTGAAGCCAATTCAATTCTCTCCAATTGTTCGTGTGTTTTAATGAAGATTGTAGTGTTGTATTAGTATTCATCGGTAATACTAATTAAATAGTATACTTGATTATACAATAATTAAAATAGTTATTCATTACGAGTATACAGTAGAGGTTAGTAATTAGCGAAAAATAAACCACTATCTATCTATGTATATATACGAATACATAAATGCACATAGAGTAGATGAATTCAATATTTGTCTTCTCTTAGATTTTGAGTTTACGAATTATATTATACTTTTCTATTGTTGAATCATATTGTATATATCTAATCTCTTATCATACCAGTAATATTGTAAATATTAGTTCTGTTACTCTAACATTTGTCTTGATAATTTTTATTTGGCTCTTTTGATTTAATGTGACAAATTAAGCTAACGTACATAATTGACAGGTACTATGTTGCTTTTGATTAACTGATTGACTGATATTGTAAGAAAGTTGAGTTGAATGAAAGTAAACTGTAACTGTTTCGAAATTATTTTACGGAGAAACATGATATTTTAAACTATGCTCTTAGAAAATGATGCTTCAAATTAAATAAAATTTGTTGACTAAAACAAAATTGAGAAACTTTACAAAACTCATTTATTTACTATACAGACACAAAACATCTGACTAGAATCTGGTCGTCAGACTTCAGTGTTTAAGAATACATTTTTTACGAGGTCGTGAGTGTTTTAGAGCATTTGAACTATATATATATATATATATAGGATGAAACGTGCATCCTGGGTTTCAGCGCTAGCCATTATCTAACTTTGCTTAAAATATTAGTTGTAATTTATTTCTGTTAATTGATATTCAGGTACCTAAACATGGTATTCCGAAAGATACCGATCTGATAACAGCCTGGATGAACGCTTTAAAATATCCAGGATTGACTGAATTTTATTTGCTAATTGACAGATTTGTTGTGGCCCAAAGCCGCCAATCAGAAGCAGCGAATTATCGATCGGACCAAGGACGCGTAAAACACGTATGAGCAGCCTAGAGTCCTGATTACTCCTACTTTCCGTCTAGCCCAGCCAGTTAAGTACAGAACACCAGTTTCAGCCTCTGCAATATGAATCCTTATATTTCAAACATACTCAGTTTATATATCAATCAAACAGATCACATGTGGTGTTTGAATGGACTAATGATACCTTTGTACTGGTTGAATGCTTGATTTCGAATTCTAAATACAATACATTCGTTGGTGTCTGTGTCTTCTTAATTCAATTGCGTTAATCCTGGAATTCCTAATTCATACGATAATTAGAATACTATACTGGCGTCGTGATGGAACCTGCAATGGAAAAGTTGGATATTCATTCAACTTCGGAAGCATTTGAGAATTATTTGGAAAGGTTCGAAATCTGGAGCATGACCAAAGAAGATGATGAGGATGTTAATATTGTGACACACTTCCTGACATTCACTGGGAGAGAAGCGTACAGCTTATTAAAAACTTTGGCATATCCAGAAAAACCTATCTCACTCCCTTATGCAACTCTTAAAGAGCTATTGTTAAGTCATGTAAAATGAACCAGTTTTAAATGCCGTGAAAGGGCGAAGTTTCATAAGATGATTCGTCAAGATGACCAAAAGGCTCGGGAATTCATCCTTGAATTACAGAAACAAGCTTCCAAGTGTAATTTCGGTGATCAACTTCATGTGCAACTGAGAGATCGATTAATTGCAGGAATTAACATACCGAGTTTGGAAAGAGAGCTGTTAAAAATGCCAAACTGTTCCTTTCAAGATGCTAGGACTGCGTGTATTAACTACGAAGCAGTGAATGAACTTGATATCCAGTCGATGAAGATTTTTGATACTTTGCTTAGTCGTCATGATGAACTACAATCTCAGGGTCAATCAAATTTGCGTTCATTTAACAGTGATTCCTATTCTCGTGTAAATATGAAAGGTGTTTCAACGACGAATTACAAAGCAAATCACAAAGGTGAGATGAAGTTTGGTAAATGTTTATCATGTGGAAAGTTTCATGCTCGCAATCCATGTGTATTTCGTAATGCTGAATGTTTTAAATGTGGTAAGGTAGGACACATTCAGTCAGTATGCAAAGCTATTGTCCATTTTGCTTCAAGCTGTACTAAATCTTGTAATTTAAATTTAAATAATTCGGATGTTTCTAATGATCATTTATCTTTATCAACGATTTCAAAAGACAGTGCGGAGTCATATGACAGTTCAGAGTTAGATGAAATCCAGAATTCTTGTGAGACAACAGTTCCTAATCAACCGATTTATCAGAATTCTCATGCTATTGTACCAGGTATGACTTTTCCTAATGATTCACATATTTCTAATGAAATTACTTGCAATATTGAGGAAAATATGGTAAATGAACCTAATCATGATCGGAAACCTGATGTGATTTGGATAGATGCTGGTTTTTCTAACGATCCTACGCTCTGCAATGACAATCCTAATGAATTTCATGAGAATATTTCAGAAGAATCAAATCCTGATGTCATATCATATATTACCTCTCCTCATAATGCATTCGATCCTTGTGAAAAACCTGCTCAATGCGAAGCACGAGTACTAAGTGACCTCGAGTTTGATTACATTTCGGATGATTTCATATCAACTGCTATTTACCCTTATCACAAAAACAGTTCTAATGTTTACTCTAAACAATGTGAGAAATATGTTTTAAATGAAGCCACATTATTCATAACTTGGGGATATAAAGATCCAATATTATTTCGTGGGGGAGGATAGGATTGAAAAATCTATGGTTCAAATTTTAGATATTAATGATTTCAGTACAAAACCGATATGCTGATTGTATACAATTCCAGGTGAGTCTGTTCCGATTTCGTTTGTTAATTCCAATACTAATGAACACTTTCTAGATACTACAAAGTTTTTATCTTATACAATGTCGGACAGACTCAGGATGAACTTAACAAGAAGACGTACAACCGATTACAAACACTTATACTTCTATTTAAGCTGTGGCGGATGTGGTGTTTGAATGGACTAATGATACCTTTGTACTGGTTGAATGCTTGATTTCGAATTCTAAATACAATACATTCGTTGGTGCCTGTGTCTTCTTAATTCAATTGCGTTAATCCTGGAATTCCTAATTCATACGATAATTAGAATACTATATCACAACGTAGCATAAAATAAAAAATAACACATTGTACAAAATTTGGCCAAATGTGGCTGTGAATGTGGGAGGCAATGACTAACAGACAGGACATAATTCAAGAATGGTAAAACGTATAATAATGGTTCATAGGTCAAAATAAAGCTTATAATAAGGGGGACATGAATATGAATAGTTAAGTTATTTAACAATTATATGATAAAAATATACGTTTAGTATTGATCCATGAAAGGATCCTAAAGTTACCATTCATTAGGATTATTGGGACCTAACAGTTTTACAGTCTGAAAATACTTCCATATAAAGTGTTCGTATTCCATGCTCAACTTACATCTTATAAGAAGGCATTTTCCATGTATCAATTCAAATCTCAAAAACATAACTCACATTCAGTATAACACATGCAGACCTACAGTGAGAAAATATGCATATTTGTACTAATCTCATAGACAAACTGATAGTGTAAACACTGAAGATCGGTGTAAGTAAATGTTAGTTTCATCGAAAAAATGAAATAAATATAAGCATTTCGGTAACTAAAAACATCTGTTGCTCAATGTGATAAGTGGATTTCTTTTAGTAAGCTATTTAAAAACTCTGGTTTATCCAACGTTTTTTCGAAAGCTATGTAGTTGATATTATGCATATGTACTGTTATTTGCTATATTAAATACTGCTACACGATTACAAATTAAGAGAAAAATTCACAACATGAATTCAGGCTATTTAAAAATGATTCATTATCTTACAGAGGAAGAATGAAAAGAAAAACAGAACATTTCAGCTAACCAGTGACGATAATATGGTGAAAGCATGTGTGTGAGTTGTGGTGTATGCTACTTATGTCTGTCGACATAAGTAGTATGTAGCACACATCAGAAGTGAAGGGCCTGACAACAGAAGGTTGAGAAGATTAAATTGAAGAGAACAGAAATATAAACAAATAATAACTGTAGTAACAATAGAAATGGAGGAACGATGAAGCATTTGAGAAACAATTTATAGAAAATGTGCAAATGAAGTATTTAATGTATGATTTTCTTATTTTATCAAGACATTCTATAATTTTGTAATAAACAATGAGTTCTCATTCACTACAGTGTGAGTATATGTGGCATTTTATAGAGTAATCATCTAGTGTGATACTGAAAACTAACTGCTATCTGTGCACATACGACATTTCAAGGTCAAAATTTACGCCAGAAATTATAACTGAAGTAAGCTGTTAGACGAATTCGGTTAAGCACTTAGTGAAGACCCCATTAGCCTAAAATGTCCCTGTTCGTGTCAGAATGATAATCGTATATATACCTACGATTTGTGTATATTATGATTCGGTTTAGCAATTAAGCCTTCCCACCCATTTCACTCTTGTCATTTGTACTGTAGGTAAATAGTAACTGAATCACACTACTG